GCTCGGCGGGGCGGGGCGGGCCTGCCCCTTGGGCGCTGGAACGCCTCCTTGCTGTCTGTCCCCAGAACGACCGACTCTGGGTTCCGGGAAGGCCTGTCCAAAGTCAACAAAACAGCCAGCGGGCGGGAGCTGTCCTGAGCCTGTCCCCGTCTTGGGACCAAGCGCTCCCGTCCGCCCCCACCGCTTCTTATTCCCGCCGGCTGCCAAAGCGGGCGTGGGAGCCGGCGGGGTCGGTGCGGGTCGGCGCCCAGCTCGCTCGCACCGGGTTCCCGGGCCAGCCGGTTCGGAGGAAGACGGACAGCCTCTTCTTCCCCCGAGCCCTGGTCCCGCACTCCGGGACCACCCCTCACCTCCAGCTGTGCAATAATGACCAGTCTGTTTTGCTACCTGGTGTCCTGCCTTCCTGGGGGCTGAGGTCATGTTTGCGCCTAGAAACCCGCGTCTGTCGGGGGAGGGCAGTTGTCGATTGCCTCACGCAGGCAGCGCACGTTCGCTGAGCAACTCTTGGGCCGGGTCCCCAGACAGTTGCCTCACCGGCCCGTGGTGATGGGGCCGCACAGGGCCCTGACCCGGCTGCAGACGTCAGGAAGGCGGATAGGAACTTGGGGGAAGATGCCGGATGGCATGCCAGCAGGGTGGAGGTGAGGGGGACATGTGATTCAAGACCCACATGTAGCTCAGGCTGAAAAGAAAAAAAATACGGAAGATAGTCGGGCATGGTGGTGTGCAGTTGGGAGGATCGCTAGAGCCCAGGCGTTCAAGACCAGCCTGGGCAACGTAGCAAGACTCCCATCTCAAAAGTAAACAAAAGCTCACATGGATTGATTGGCATATGCCACACCTTATACTAAGGTTTTCATGGCCCTTAATTGGCTAAAAAGCGTATGAGACGCCGGGCTCGGTGGCTCAGCCTGTAATCCCAGCACTTTGGGGGGCCGAGGTGAGTGGATTGCCTGAGCCCGCGGGTTCGAGACCCACTTGGGCAACTTGGCGAGACCTCATCTCTACAATAAATCAAAAAATTAGCCGGGCGTGGTCGTGCACACCTGTAGTTCCAGCTACTTGGACGGCTGAGGTGGAAGGATCGCCGGAGCCCAGCAGGTCGAGGCTGCGGTGGTTGGGAGTGGCCACTGCACTCCAGTCTGGGCGACGGAGTGAGATTCCAACTCAAAAAAAAAAAAAAGTGTGAGACACAGAGAGGCTAAGTAACTTGCTGCAGGTCACACAGCTAATGAGTTTGTGAGAGATTCAGGGCTCAAAGTCACTGCGGGGATTGCACCTCAGCAGCTAGACTCCCTGGGACCAAAGCTCTCAGACACGCTACCATTTGCTATGTGGCTTGGGATCTCTGGCTTACCCTCCCTGTTTCCTTGTGTATAAGATGGGGCTTTCTTCTTTTTATTTTATTTCATTTCATTTCATTTGTTTGTTTTCAGGCAGGGTTTCTCTGTCACCCAGGCTGGAGTGCAGGGGCATGATCGCAACTCACTGCAGCCTCAACCTCCTGGGCTCAAGCAATCCTCCCACCTCATCCTCCCAAGCAGCTGGGACTACAGGTGCACACCACCACGCCTGGCTCACTTTTCAATTTTTGGTAGAGATATCACTGTGTGGCCCAGGCTGGTCTCGAACTCCTGGTCTCAAGCAGTCCTCTCGACTCAGCCTCCCAGAGTGCTGGGATGACAGGTGTGAGCCACCACACCCAGCCTCCAGTGGGGCCTCTTAAGTGGGTATCCGCTTGACCTGCCCTGAATCTCGGGGTCCTGCCCTGAATCTCGAAGAGTGACCGCAGATTAGAGGCTCCCTCTGTGTACACTCGAGGGCGGGTGCCTGAGTTGTGTCTGCTCCCGACCCCACCCCCACCCTTCAACCAGAACACTCTAAGCCAGGCACAGTGGCTCACACCTGTAATCCCAGCACTTTGGGAGGCAGAGGCGAGAGGACTGCCTGAGCCCACAGGTTGAAGACCAGCCTGGGCAACTTGGTGAGACCTCCCCTCTACAATACATTTAAAAACTTAGTGGGTGTGGTGGTGCACGCCTGTGGTTCCAGCTACTTGGAAGGCTGAGGCGGAAGGATCGTCTGAGCCCAGCAGGTCGAGGCTACAGTGGCCATGAGCATGCCACTGCACTGCAGCCTGGACAACAGAGTGAGACTCCAATTCAAAAAAACTAGAGCACCCTGACCCCCTTTGGAGATCCGAGAAGCCTCCCTCGGTGGAGGCCACAGGCACGGCGTGATGGTGGGGGGTTAGGGAACAGGACTGGGGCGAAGGCTTCCTGTAAGCGGAAGCAAATATAACTGAGTCCCAGATGAATAAATAGCCGAGCCAAATTGAGAAGGAAATGGATGGCATTGCAGACAGAGGAAGTTAGATGAGCACAGCAGGGAGGGCTGGAGTGCCCCGCAGGACCCCAAAGACAGGCCTAACACGTTCAGGGCTCAGGTCGGGGCTCACAGCAGCCATGGAAGAGTCTAAAGCCAGAGGAGATGTGACCAGAGAGAGTTAGGGTTTTATTCTGTGTGCATGCCACGGTAAGCAGCCACGGTCCCCCCAAAGATGGGCCCATCTGCCACCCCCCCCCCCAGGCCTGTGAGTCTGTTCTCTTACATGGCAGGGGTGGGATTAAGTGAAAGATCTTAAAATGGAGACCCTCTTGGCTTATCCACTGGTCCACTGTCATCGTAAGGGTCCTTTAAAAAATTTTTTTTTAATAGAGACAGGAACTGGGCATGGTGGCTCACACCTTTAATCCCAGCACTTTGGGAGGTGGAGGTGAGAAGATTGCCCGAGCCCAGGGGTTCAAGGTCAACCTGGGCAACTTGGCGAGACCTGTCTCTACAAGAAATCATAAAATTAATCGGGTAGGGTGGCACATACCTATGGTTCTAGCTACTTGGAAGGCTGGAGCGGAAGGATCATCTGAGCCCAGCAGGTCGAGGCTGCGGTGGCCGTGAGCATAACACTGCACTCCAGCGTGGATGACAGAGGGAGACTCCAACTCAAAAACGGCAAAAATAGAGATGGGGGTCTCACTATGTTGCCCAGTCTGGTCTTGAACTCCTGGGCTCAAGCAGTCCTTCTACCTCAGCCTCCCAAAGTGTTGGGATGACAGGTATGAACCATCATGCCCAACCATCAAGGATTTTCTTTTTTTTTTTTTCTTTTGAGTTGGAGTCTCACTCTGTCGCCCAGACTGGAGTGCAGTGGCCACTCCCGGCCTTTGCAGCCTTGACCTGCTAGGCTCAGGTGACCCTTCCACCTCAGCCTTCCAAGTAGCTGGAACTACAGGTGCGCTCTACCACGCTCGGCTGATTTTTGATTTATTGTAGAGATGAGGTCTCGCTGCCCAGGCGGGTCTCGAACCCGCGGGCTCAGGCAATCCGCTCACCTCAGCCTCCCAAAGGCGCGGGATGACAGGCTGAGCCACTGAGCCCGGCTCATCAAGGGTTTTCATAAGAAGGAGGCACCGGGCTCAGAGGAAGAGAGGCTGTGACAAAAATAGGCTGCTGTGATTTTGAGGAAGAGTCCCGAACCAGCCAAGAGGCGTACACGTGGCTTCTAGAAGCTGAAAAGAGGCCAGGGGAAAAAAACCGGATTCTCTCCTAGAGGCTCCAGAAAGAACACAACCCTGCTGATCCTGGATTCCAGACCTCTGACCTCCAGAACCCTAGGCTATCAAGGTGTGTTGTTTTAAGCCACCAGATTTGCAGTCATATGTTCTAGCAGCAGTAAGAAGTCACACTGGCT